AAGTCCCCATGTTCTGAGAGCATTATAGGTAGCTACTCGAAAATAGCAGTTGTACTTATGTAGACCATAAAGCTCATCAGTGATTTCACTGAAAGACTTATCTTTAAATCAAGTCTTCGTACTGAATTCTCAGTCAGCTGATAGGGAACTATTGGGAATACAGTTGGCTTTAATCTCAAATCTCAGAAAAATCTATAATAATCTCAAATATACAACAGCAACACTTCTTGTTTTGTCATGAGTTTCATGTGGATTTTTTGATAAAATCCCTGTAAATTAGATCTTTTGCTTAAGCCAACAACAGGCAAAATACAAGCAGAAACCGTGTGAGCATCTCTGATGCCCTTCTATCAGCCTGTAGCCACTCTGGGGTAATGCACCTGTCAAGCTAACAGTGAATGCTGCTATTCTCAGCACGTGCTTGCTATCACACAACGGTGCACCTGGAGCCTTTTCTCCTCCTTCAGTTTATTCTGTTGCCTGGTATGTTGGCCATGAAGCCTGCAGCAAGAGTGTTGGGGATAAATGGGAAGAAAAGGCCTTTCTCTTCCCGTTCCTTAACATAGAACAATAACAGCCTGCAGTATGAGATAGGGCAGATGTGGGAGGAAAGTGTTTTTTCACTTCCTCTCCACCTCCAGTGGAGCGCTGACCTCCTGTAGCACTTCTCTGTAGACCTTGTGCTCTGCTCATCAGCAAGCTGCTGTGGGTCATTTTGGTAGAAGGTTGCTGCGTGCACTCCTTTCTTCTCCCTGGCCTTACGTTTTTTCTCACCATCGTGGTTGTCACATTATTTATCTCGAAGCTTGTTTTCTCAGGGACACTGGTTTCTGGATGTGCTCGATGTGTTTTGCCTCGCCCATCAGCTCCTGCTCTTATAACCTACTGTATGAGCCAACTGAACAGTTCTAGCCACTTTTGTTCAGGAATATGACTTAAGGATGTAATTTGAATTTCAGCCACCAGAGGTCCTCCACAGTTTACTGCTTCGTTGCAGTTTTCTCTGATCTTTACTGGGATCAGTACAGCCGTGCTCACTTCCACCCAAAATCTACGGACCTCTCCTAGCTGAGGATCTGCTCAAATTCCCTGCCACGTCATCTCTCATATCCTTGGAATCCATATCTAAGATTACTGTCATATACTGCTTAAACCCAACAGCATCTTCCCCATGTTTTTTCCCCATAAGGTTTGGACTCCCCTTTCAGGTCTCATTCTTTGGGGTGCTCACAGCTGAGCTGACAGCAGGGCTGGGCAACACAGAAGTGATTTCTGTTTGTGCTGTGCTGTCCCTCAGACTCTGGGCCAGAGGGTCAGGGTGAGGGAAAGCTTGAAAACTGCTTGTGTCATTTCATATGTACATCTTTAACAATCCACAGTAAGGTTTTAAAAATTGGTGCCTGAGTTACAGCTGTATTGCTTCTGGGGTAAAAGTAGATTCATAAATCCTTTTCCACAGGGCACACACTGAGCTGACACATCCGTTAAGCAGAGTTTACATCAAAAATTCTCTAACTTTTGCAGAGGAAGGCTTGAAGAGGAATTTGGCAAACAGCCCACAAAATTTTAATCTGTAAAATAAATAGCTGTCACTTAGCACAGTGCTTTCTTTCACCTCATATAACCTGGGCTCAGTCCCAGCCTCCTCCTGCCGATGAAACACCCTGCAGAGTCGCCAAGCCCATGCCACGCCAGCAGTTCTTTTCCCCTTCCCAAAGCAATGGCGATCTCAGCTTCAGCCGCTGGGGGGAACATTAGGCTTTGCCGTGAAGGGGCCGCGCGCCAGGCAGGGTCTCCATTACGCCAGACCAGCTTTCAGGGTCAGATACCTGCCTTCTTATCATTATGAAGGACCTTCCCGTATGAAAGCTGACCCATCGTTTACTTTTTTTTTTTTTTTTTTTAATTTTGTTTTATTTTGTTTGTTTCCCTTATTACACCAGTTGGTCCTGAAAGAGACATTGTAACTTGATATAAGAGTTGTCTCGCTTGTATGTGCTGCATCCAAAAGCAATATGTGAATCACAACTACCAGCTACTTTTCAGGTCTTCTTAGGCCCACACTGAATTGAAAGATGTGGTGTTTTCCAGCTGTCGAGCTCCAAGCCATCAGTAAGGTCTCATGTGGGCAGTATTTTATTGAGTAGGCCAAACTAAACCCAAGGCTCTCCTCTAGCTCATATTTAAACTCTTTTCTATGTGAGACCCTTCGAATCTTCTACAAGCATTCACTGCATCTTTTGCTGCTTTTGTACTGTCAAGGCTTAGGCACCCTACGGAAATGCAAACTAAAAGGAATAAGTAACATGTTAATGATAACAATGTTTAGAAAGAGGTTTCATGAAAACAAAATAGTCTCTTCTTTTGCCAATATAAATAAAGGCAGAAAGTTGTTTTTGTAGCAGGAGTGTGTGAAACTTGAAACCACAGCAGTAAGAATACCAATATGAATCAGAGTGACTGAGATAGACAAATGTATTGCCCTGGAGATGGGAATGTGAGCGGGTGGTTAGAGAAGCAAGCAACAAATCAAATGCTCTTTTCCGCCCCTGACTCACTACGCGTCTGCAGCCAACTCATTTGCCATCTGTATGTCAGTACACACATCTGCAAAAGAGGGACACCTATTTCATATTTTTCCAGATTTAGCTCTTGCCAAGCATTACTAGTGAATGCTGACAGCCCTTTGTTGCCAGGATCTCAGCATTTCACAGGTGGAAAATACAATTTCTCAGCACTTCTCCCATCAGGCCACAATCACTTTTCTTAAAACAAACTTGTGCAGCTGTGAGTTAATGCAGCACCACCTGACAAACCAAAGAGTCTTTCATTCTCCTGCTAGTGCGGAAAGACTTCAAATTAAATTTCACCTAAACCTCAGAGATCAGCAGCTCTCTAACACTGACATGTTACAAAAGCAGCTAACTAACCAGATGTAATCCTATCTAACCAATTGCTACTAATTGATATTGTCAAAATGTTGTTTTCCTATTTTTATACATGAAATCATTGAGTTTGGTCCTTAAAGGCTGTTTAATCCAAGTCCCCGGCAGTGAACAGGATACGTACAGCTAGATCAAGGTGCTCAGAGCCCGGTCCAATATATTGGTTGATTAAAATGAAATGTGTTGTAAGCGTTTCATGTTTATTAGTTGAAAATAAATCCTTTAAAAATATGTTTTATAACTATAAAGTTAACTCAGTCCTATGTGAAGTGAGTCTCATTACAGTCACAAGGTTTCCTAAATGAGGAATCCACTTGAGTCCGGTTCTCTGATCATAGACCTCACATAATCCTCTATCTGCAGAATCAGCAGTGAGCATTGGCACAGAGATGCTGGATGCTGAGCTGCCTTTCTGCCTGCAGAAGGGCTCCTTCCCTCCTCACCTCTGCCCAAACTCGCTTTCTGTCCTGCTTGCCAATGGGCAGCAGCTGTCATGGCTACAGAAATGAGCTCAGCGCATCCAACTTGTGGATGTGAAATCTTTCAGATTCATTTTAAATTGGCTACTTTGCTTTCTGTGGTATCTATACATTCCTCACTGTGACTCCTCTCGTAATGCCATCAGTTATAAAACTGCACTTTCAGGTATGCCTTTCAGTATGTGGGGCCTAACTGTATTTTAAGACTGCCTTTCTGCACTATAACATTTGAAGTGACTTACACAGTTTGTAATAAAAGTGGTGACTGCCTTTTCTTCCAGAGAGAACTCAGACCAGCTCATGTCTGTTCCTTGCAGGACACCCGCTCCACATGTGCTGGGGAAACACTGCACTGCCAACCATTTTCTCCTGCAAATTTCTGGTAAGCATACCTAATTTGGGGGCAGCTGTTGCCCTGCCCAACCCACTGCACCTAATTCTAGAGAGGTGTCCAAAAATACTGAGCTTGTGGGGCTCCCCAGCTGGACATAGTGAGGTGGGCTGCTAGGCTCTGCTTTGCAGCGTGGCATGGCTGGGCAGCCCAACCGCGGCTGTTCTGCTCCACCCATTGAGCTCCTGCCTGAGAGCCAGGCAAGAGCCAGGGAGAGAAGATGGAAGGGTGTAGGGAAACAGTGAGATGAATGAGCAAAAACTGGGTTGAAGACTTTAGCAGTTGGTTCCCCAATTGTTAATTTTACTAATCATCTCGGCTGATGGAACCCTGAGGCAGTACGGCTCTCCTCAGTGCCTGCAGTCACAGCATGCTGCACTTCAGGCAGCGGGAGTTCAGCGGGGAAGCAGCGGCAAAGCGGGGCGGTATCCGGAGAAACTCATTTAGAGAAGGAGAGCGGGGCGCACCAGCAGCCCGGGGCTTGGGAGAGCCTCTTTAGCACGGCTCTGCAGCAAAGCGCTGACAGACAGACACGCAGTTCAGGTTTTTTTAGGAACGCGGCGCTGCCCGGCAGCCACCCCTCATGGGCAGCGCCGCCCGGAACGTGCCACGCGGTCGCAGAGTTCCCAGGTGCGCCGTGCCACGCGCCTCGGCCGGGCACAGGAAGGCTCAGGCTTTGGAAAGGCGATCGAAGCCGCCCGGCAGGGGGCTCGGGCCGGGGTTCGTCCACGCCGCGCAGCCGCCATGCCCGGGGAGCGGGCGACCGTTGGAGGGCGGTGGGCGCGAGGCGGCGGCCGTTGGAGCAAGCTCGTGCCGAGGTAAGGGCGGGAAGGCGGGCGCTGAGGCAGCCTCAGAGGAGCGGAGGCCGCTCGAGGGAAAGCGAAACCAAAAGGGCGGAGGCGGCAGCAAGGAAGGGGCGGGGGGGCCGGGGTTCCCCGCGGCGGGGCTCGGCTCGCTCCTCCCCTCGGCGCTGAGGCGGAGTGGGGCGGCGGCGGGCGGGAAGGCTCGGCGAGCCCCCGTGGCCCTGGCGCCGGGGCAGCGGGCGCGGTAACGGGCTGCGGGTGAGTCAGAGCCGCCCGGGAAGGGCGGGCTGGACATGAGCCACGCCGCCGGGCTGCGAGCGGCGGCCGGAGGCTGAGCAACAAAGAAGTTTCCCCGGCGGCACGGCGGGCGCGGCGCTCCCTCATGCACGCCCCCGGCCGCCATCCCTGGGGCTCTGCCCGGCGGGCGCCCGCCGCCGACCCCAGCGCGGAGCCCCGAGCGGCGCTGCACAGCAGCCCGGAGCTCAGTCGGGCCACGCGGCTCAGCGTGGGGGAGCTGCGCTCCCTCTTCGAGGCGCGCTGCGCCGCCGTCGCCGCCGCCGCCGCCCGGCAGCTGCCCGACCCGGCCAAGCGGGGCTGCCGGCCCCCCAACGGCGTGCTGCCGCCCGTCATCCCGCGCCTCACCGTCACCGCCGAGGAGAGCGAAGAGTCGCAGGGCAGCCCCGAGGCGCCGCCGGCGCACGCGGAGGGCGGCTGGCTGAGGACGGGCGGCTCGCTGCACCTGCAGTCCCGCAGGCTGTCCACCTCCTCGCTCTCCTCCACGGGCTCGTCATCCCTCCTGGAGGACTCGGAGGATGACGTGCTGAGCGACACGGAGGGCAGGAGCCAGGGCATCGTGCACCTGGAGCGCGGCGACGACTCCAACCAGGTAGGGGGCGGCTCGCAGCCGTGGGGCCGGGACGCGCTGCCCGGGGGGCCGGGAGCTCCGTAAACGGGACCGACGGAGGAACTACAGCGACAGCAAGAAAGAAAGAAAGAAAAAGGGGGGAGGGAGGGAAGTAGACTCGTGCCGAACGGCGCTCGGCTCCCCCACCGGTGCCGATCGCCTGGTTGGGGGCCATCGAGCATCCTCGTTTGGAAAGGCTGGTGGTCTGGCTGGGAGGCGGGGGAACTGCGCTTTTCTCCTTGCACACAAACTCTGGGAAACTCCTGCCAAGCGTTGCATGATGCGCATTGCAGCTTCTGTTTTCAAAGCACTTCTTGATGTTGGCCCTTTTAAAACCCCATCAGGTGTGCTTGGTTTCCTGTGAAACTGTGCTTGCTGTCCCAGTAATTTTGAGTGGTGTTTTTTTGCTCGTTACTCGGGTCTTTTTGGTTGCTTTGTTTCGTTGTTTGTTCTTTTTTCTTTCTTTTTTTTTTTTTTTTTTTTTTTTTTTTTTTTTTTTTCCACAGCCTCTTTTGTTAGGTTTTCAAAATAACATTTTTCCTGGCATTTGCCAGCGGGGTTATTATTATTTTTCTTTTTGTCTCTTCCAGTCCTGGAGTCTGTGGTTGTCAGTTTTTGAGCTGCTTCTTGCTGTGAGCATGACAGGAGATGGGGAGGAGCTTGGATTGGGTAGAATGCATGCTTTTGTCCATCCTGGCAGCAGCGCATTCTTCTCAGTAAATCCTCTCTGTAATTTGGCAGCTTTCATTCATGAAGTGCACTTTTAAAGCATTTAGTTAGGGTTTTTTTTTTTTCCCCCATGGCCATTAACATATATTTGCCTGATTGTCTGTAATGGGCTTCTTGGGGCTTTGTAAGTGAAATACATTGCTTTAGCAAATTCTTCCTCCTACCTTTACTGAGACCATAACTTAAATTGTTGTTCTACTGCCAGCCTACTGGCACTCTATTGTTCTCAAGCAGAACATATGTTTTGAAAAAAAATACATATGCAAGAAGTAATGCTAGTTGTTCGTGATACCTCCAGCTGGACCTTTCTCATGCTAATTGTGGGTTTACTACTTTAGAGGACACATAGTACAGGAACTAAAATGTTGTGCGCAATATTGGCTTTGTTTGCATCAACTTGGGGGGAAAAAAGTTTTGTACTTTGTCATGTTGTGTTCCAAGAAACCAGTAATGACGCTTCTTAATTTGTACTTTCTATCCTGATATAGAAACTGGTGTGTGGAGGGAAACAATTGCTACTCTGTCACCATATGCCTTTCTTTTCTGAACTATGTGCTGTGCTAGCAGGAATTTTGTGGAAGTAGCATAAGGACTGGAATTATAGATGGAAAAGAGCTGTTGGATCCTTTGACTCAACAACGCTGCTATTGCAGTGGGAGAGTGGGTGTGATAATGAGCTATGTGGAGGTAATCCTGGGCTGTACATGTGGTAAATATAGAGCCGGAGTTTACTGGGAATGCTTAAGCTACATGGAGAACTCTGGGATGGCATTGTAGCATCTGTTCACTTGTCTATACACATAAATTAAAGCAAGAACTGTTTTTCAGGTGAGAAACTGAGCTGCTTTGAGGTTGCTTTTGCATTTTGGAAGTAGTGATATTGTATATAATACTGAGTCCTAAATCATTCTTCTGTATCTTTCTCTGTAGTTCTACGTGAGTGCATCTAAAGCATACGATGTAAGTGGATGTGAATGGTATTAATTTAATCTGAATTATAGGAACTATCTAGGCACTGTGGAAAAATTGGAAAAGGCTCTTTTCATCTTTTAATGGCAAGAAAAGAAAACTTCTTAACTGAAAAAAAGCTTTATGGATCACTCATAGATGAATAAAAATTGCCATATAAGAAATATTTTAAACTGAAAGTATGTCCTCTTCATTTACGTGTATAAGAAATTGAGACCTTGAAAGGTATTGTGAGAATTCAGTCTCATAAAAAGCTTCTTGCAAGTTTCTGAAGTTCAGTGCAGCTTCAGTGTTCTTTAGTTTTTCAGTACTGAAGTATTCACACCTGGTAAAATGTCCTTAAGGCTCAAATTACTTTTCCACACCTGTAGGGATGATGGGATAAACTGCCCCACCAGCAGCCTGCATTCCATGGACACCTGCGCCTGTTACCATTTGTGCAGCAGGCTGGCAAGCTGGGACTTGTGCCTCGGGCTCTGAACTGAGGCACTAAGTATCAAAAACTTTGTGATGCTACCTAATAAATAAAGTGAGCTAAATCTTTAACCTGCTCGTTGTGTGCTGGTGTAGTTCATCCCTCCCTCCCTTGCCATAGTACCTCTGAGAGCTTGGATCCCAGGAATCTGCCCTTCTTCTTTTTGTGATACATGCTGTTGTTCATCTCAAGTGGCTGCCCTGTGGGCTGGACATTCCTGCAGGTGTCCAGAACACAGTGGTTCTTTGGCTGTTGTCTTTTGGTACTCCAAAACTTACAGCCCTGTGTTCAGTTGTCCAGTCTCTAGAGATACTGTTTCAGTAAAGAAACTGTGAGTAATTAACATGCCAAGTGGAGTAACCTGCTTAGAACCTCTGTGGGTTTGGCTTTACAGGATGCATCTTTTTCTACTGTAAGTCCTGAGGAAGGATGAGTAGATCTGGTTTGTTGTTTTTTAAATGAAAGGACTAGGACTCAAGGCAGGCATGTTCATATGAGAATAACTAGAAATTTGGGGATAACGAGGGATGCTTTTGTACCTTAAAGGTAAGCTTGCATGTTTTATTCATGTCTATTGCTTTAGCATTATGTATTTTAACAGGTGAAGGTTCATTTTCAGAGAGGAACACAGATTAGAGACTTTCTGCAGGAAATTGCAGTGGAAATGAGCCAGACTTGGTGTTCTCCCCAGTTCATGGAAAACTGTGACATCTTGAAATTTTCCTTGTATTAGAATTTTCTCCAGTGTTTCTTTGGAAATGATGTAGAGTCTGACACCTTTTGATGTAGCTCAGATCAGGGCTCACAGGACTGCTGCTGAGCTATCGAGCCTCCCAAGTCCTCAGTGCTTCACAGGAACCTTGGAAACTTGCCCAGGTCTTTCAGCTGCAGGAGCAGAAGTTCTGATAGTTTTCCTGTTATCAGGGCTTCAAGGCTTCCATCTGCAGATGCAGAAACTTGAGACCTGAGCTGAAGAAAGCCCTCCCAGGCTTCTTTGCTGAAGGCCTCTCTACTGTTGACCTGGAAGTTTATACTCAGGTGTATCTTCAAAATGTTGTGGGCCCTTGAGCTACCTGTACAGACCCATAGGGAACAGAAAACTGTGCAAGTTGGCAGGCCTTGAATCCTGGGACAGCAAGCTATGCAGTGCTTTTCCCGACTGCGCCTTGGAAGAATCTCTTCCTGGAAGCTTTCTGGGCAGACAAGGAGCTCCCCGGGAGTGTGAGTGACTCAGTTAAGCATTTCACAGAGTGTTCTGGCATGGATCAGTTGGCACATCATGACAGCAATATGCAATTTTTGCATATTACTGAGTTCCATGTATGGTATGTCCCTGGAATGCTATGGCCCTTAATGAATAGTGAGTTCCTTGGGAATGATGGCTGACAATTACAGTACGGTTCCAGCCTGGCTCTGTAGGGACTTAGCTTTGTTTGTATCTAGAAGGCTGACATTTGAAGGTAAGTCAGCAGGTAGATGTTTTGTCTCATCATCACAAATTCCACACTTCATTTTTCAGTAATAGTGGCTTTGGAAACTGAACTGCTCTGGCTCTCCTAAAGGAGGGCTTTTCTGGCAGCAAGGGGTTAGAATTGTGAGAGAAGCTGGTTCTGCTGCTATTGCAGGAGCTGACAAAGTTACTATTCCTGCCTTCCTTTGAATTTAAATGGAAAGCATGCCTTTCCTACCCTTGCTTCCCACAATCTGGAAGGTTTATGTATGTAGTTGAATCTTTCGGAGAAAGCTCCATTGGTCCATTTATAGTAATGAAGAGAATACGAGAGATGTATTTTTATCTTTATTGTGTGAACAAGCAATTTTAAGAACTATGTTAAGTCTGGTGAGCACCTTCTTTGTTGGGACAGAGAGGCTTAAAAGTGGCTTTCTCAGAGACGGAATCGCGTGATGATGTACAGCAGTCTTTTCTCCTTTTCATTAGGGTAGTGTTATTTCCTAGATAGAAGCACGCCAGGCAAATCTACTCATTCTCAGAACTGTGACCTGTCATTGCAAATTCCTGCATTGGTAACCATGAGAACAGCTGACAACAGCTCGCTAGAGAAAAAGCAGTGCAGTTCTTACCTGCAGTGATACCAGTTCAGAAACTTTGGGCAATAGCCATTACTTGGTTTTACCTATCTCCTCACTATTACTTTTGATAATAGTGAGCACCTTAAAAATGAACAAACATAGGCACATACACTTAATAAATACAGCCTGAAAGTTTCAAGTGGTTCATCTGAGGAGTGGGTGTTATGTAAGCTAATGCACTAGAACAGAATTGTTATTTTTAAATGAAGAATGGGAATGAAGGGATGACAGAAGTAAGACTGTTAATGGGTTTTTAGCCTACTTTCAAAGGAAAGAAAGATTGTGTAATCACTGTATCAATTTAATTTTAACAACTTCAGTAGAATTCAGCTGACTTTGACAATGAGGTAAGCATCCCAAAGTTTTCTTCATAAGTTCTGTAAAGTTCCGTGAACATCATCCTCTGGATGAAGAATACAAGCTCCAGATAAGAGATGTGGAATTGTGAGGTGCAGTGGAGGGTTTATGACACAAGCTCATGGAGCGCAGTGACAAGCTGTTGTTAATTTGAGAAGGGTGCAGGGCAGTAGGCTAGTAGTTCAGTAGACACCAGCCTCCATTAATTTGCTAGTTGTGGAACAGCTAATTTTAACAGCATTTCATGATATTTTTTAAAAATAACAATTTATAATAACAGACTTGCTACTGACATCTTCCTGTTACGTAGTAAACAAATATGAGTGAATGGTTCTGTGTTGCTCTGTTATTGGGCCTCAAC